CGTCATACGCATTATACCAGCCATCAGCAATACAGGCCGGCATGCCAATAGGCGTTCTCAGTTTAGACCTCATAGACTTCAACCCAAGCGGTGATCCGATGGTAATATATTTTTTTACCTGGGCGGTTTTATGTGTGCTCAGTACATCGTAGCCCACCACAGAACCCAATGAATGGCCTACAACTACACAAGGCTGATCATCGATCGCTGAAACAACAAAGTCATTGATTCGTTGCCGGATGTTTGGCATGGTCAGGTAAATAAAGGCATCGTACGTAAACCGTTTCAGTGTGGCATCGCCCCATGGCGTACGCTCATCTATTGCACGAATAATAGTATGAACCCATTCCCAGTTGAGCGGCCCCTTTTCGGTTACCGGTCCCGTGAAACTGGCTGAGATCTGCGACTCCGACACCTTACCATTATGGGCAATTTCCAACAGGAGATCTTGGAAGAAAGAAAGCTGTGGCGCGGGTAAAACACCTTTGGCAATAATCCCTTCAATCGTTTTGCCGATTTGCTCCGGGTTAACCAGTGAATCCAGTAAATCGCCATAAAACGGGAATATTATTTCCAGCTCATCCGGCAACGACAGGCCGCTTTTATGGAGTCCTTTTTTTAAGGTATCGATCCAGGTTTTTCTCAGCTCTTTGGGATCTTTGCCTTGCTGATCCCGGCCGTGTATCATGATTAGTTTCATAGTATTTGATGGGTATTGATTAAATGCCGGATTAGTTCAAATCCTTTAGGATTAAAAGTGGTCCAAAGACCGGGTACGAGGTACTTGCCCAGCTCCTGGAACTCGGGTGGGAATAGGGTATTATCAACAGACATATAAGACCAGCCCTGTGTAAGCATCGGGCAAAAAGGAGCCTGCGATTGTTTAGGCGCTTCAAACGCTTGTTTACTGATTTTGACCAGCATCCAAACATCGTACAGCACCGGTTCCGGTTCTCTCCACATGTACTCATAAACAGATTTGAGGTCAGTATAACTACCAGCCTGCATATAGGCATAAGCGGCATACAAGCCCATAGTCGGGTCAATGGCCTTTATGTTACGCAGGTAACTGGCCTGTTCAATTACATGGTTAACATCACCTTCCACTTTGAAGGAGCCGAAACGGGCGGCAGTGGCCACCAGGGCCCGGCGGTGTTCAAAATCCTCGTTTTGAAAACCACGCATTAACTCATATTTCGGCGTGTGCTGGCTAGGTACATAGTTGACGTTTATGACGGCGCCATTTTCTACGACAACCGTACCTATAAAACCGGGCAATATGGCAAGTGGTACCACATTTCCCGATTCCAATTGCAGAAACAGTGTACGGCTCAGATTTTGCTCCAGGATACGGATATGCGTCTGGTCGGCTTCTTCGAACTGGTCAAAACTATTTTCCGCCGCCATCAGACATTGCACCTTATTGGTGCCGGTGATAGAAAATCCCGTCCGGGTTTCAAAGCTATTTCGCCCGCTTGCATTC